GGACAAATTCTTCTCTTGGAGGTGAGCACATAACTCCTGTTTATTTTAGTCAGAGATGTGTGCACCCCTGCATAACTTAGATATAAGGGAATAAATGTCCAGTGAAAGATATATTTTATGCTGTTTCCTTACAGATAGGTATATTGATAGAAAGAGTCAAATGAAGGAACTATTTAGGTCAGGGGTGGCCAACTACGGCCCGCGGGCCAGATCTGGCCCACCAGCCATTTTAATCTGGCCCTCAAGCTCCCGCTGGGGAGCAGGGTCGGGGGCCGCTCCACACGGCTCCTTGAAGCAGCAGCAGCATGGCCCCCACTCTGGCTCCTCTGCATATGGGTATCCAGGGGGGCTCTGCTCCGAAAGCTGCCCCTGCCCCAAGCGCCACCCCCCCAGCTCCCAGTGCCCAGGCCGACCCACGGATGCTGCTAAGGGAAAAATTATCCGGCTACTGTACACGTGCGCACACACACCTGATTGGAATGGACGTGAACAAGCACTTGAAGAAAAACTGACATTACTGTGGAACCAAAGGAAAAAAATAAATACAATAAAGAATGGCATCTTGGCAAAAGGGTAGCAATTTGTGCAGGTGTATAATCACAATATATGGGACTCTGCCTAAAACAGAACAGCAGCACTAGATCAATATTATTTACAAGGATAGGATTAAAATTCAAAATGATCTGGACAAACTGGAGAAATGGTTTGAAGTAAATAAGATGAAATTCAATAAGGACAAATGCAAAGTACTCCACTTAGGAAGGAACAATCAGTTGCACACATACAAAATGGGAAATAACTGTCTAGGAAGGAGTACTACGGAAAGGGATCTGGGGGTGATAGTGAATCACAAGCTAAATATGAGTCAACTGTGTAACGCTGTTGCAAAGAAAGCAAACACTGTTCTGGGATGTATTAGCAGGAGTATTATAAGCAAGACACGAGAAGTAATTCTTCCATTCTATTCCACGCTGATTAGGCCTCAACTGGAGTACTGTGTCCAGTTCTGGGCGCCACATTTCAGGAAAGATGTGGACAAACTGGAGAAAGTTCAGAGAAGAGCAACAAAAATGATTAAAGGTCTAAAAAACATGACCTATGAGGGAAGATTGAAAAAACTGGATTTAGTCTGGAGAAGAGAGGACTGAGAGGGGACATGATAACAGTTTTCAAGTACATAAAAGGTTGTTACAAGGAGGAGGGAGAAAAATTGTTGTTCTTAACTTGTGAGGATAGGACAAGAAGCAATGGGCTTAAATTGCAGCAAGGGCGGTTTAGGTTGGACGTTAGAAAAACTTCCTGTCAGAGTGGTTAAGCACTGGAATAAATTGCCTAGGGAGGTTGTGGAATCTCCATCACTGGGGATTTTTAAGAGCAGTTGGACAAACACCTGGCAGGGATGGTCTAGACAATACTTATTCCTGCTCTGAGTGCAGGGGACTGGACTAGATGACCTCTCGAGGTCCCTTCCAGTTCTATGATTCTATGATTTAGATTGCAAGATCTTTGAAGCAGGAACCTTATCTTCAAACTTGTCTGAAAAAATATCTAGCAAACTGCTGGTGCTTTCTGAAAAAAAAATTACTTGATAAAATAGCCTGGAGATAATGAAAAATTTGTTGTTGTTTTAAAAGGAAAGTTTTAAAAACTGGTTTTGCAGACTGCCTAAAATAAATTTTCCTCCATGAGAATGTCAAGCTTTTGCCTGATATGCTTGAAGCTATACTTCCACCTGCTGGCTTAAATGGAGACTGGAAATGATACTGCATTCTATTTTGTTTAAAAAATGAAACTTTGCTGTTGGAACACTATATTTGAAGTTCTGAAGAAAGAATATAGTTTGAAAACATACTGACAGATTTAGGACTATATCTCCTTCCCCCACTGCCCTCTGAAGACTTCTCCTCCTCCTGTGGCCATGCAAGAACCAAAGAGAGGACAACGGAAGAGGGAAGAAAAGAAAATAGCTCTCAAAAGACTTGCTTGAGGATCTCCACGCTCCTACCACCATAGAGCAATGGTCTGTGGTGCCGTGTGCAGGGATGTGGGGGATGGGATGTGGCCAGGTTAGGGGATCCATACTATATAAAACCACTAGCTAAAGTAATCTCCTAGGGATGTAGTGTGTTGAAAGACACTGTAGTAGAGGCTGTGGATGTAATAGTGTTGCAACCCCTGCCATTGGCTAAAAGGGGAAGAGTCTCTTCAACCTCCTATATCTCCTCTGATCAAACCTTATTTGTTTGGATTTTGTGCAGCAAATCAATATTTGGTCAGCATATACAGTAATGATACACCGCAATGCATTGAGCTAGGGGGATGCGTCCCGTGAGGTGCTGAGGAGATTGGGGATAGGGCCAGTCTTACTTAGTCATCTGAAAAATATGCAAATTAATTTACATTCTGTTTGCCTATAGTGGAAATGGGTTATGAACACCAGTGAGGGCGGGGGGGGGGGCGGGAAGATACAAAAAAGTACCTATGAAGGTTAGAAATGTGAGCAGGAACTAATAAAAGAAGAGCCAACCTGCACAAAAAACTATCTGAAACACAGCTATTTGATTGAAGGAAGGTGGAAGTTTTAAAGTACTAATTCTGACACAGACGTACTAATAATAGTGGAAAGAAAAAAATATTGTGTTGAAAGAGTGCTTGGCGGGCAAAACATGGAGAAAGACATGTCCTTGTCCTAAATATTTTACAATCTAAATTAGACAGACAATACAGTTCACAAATACAATATATTCTCTGAACAGATGGTCAAACCTCAAAATGGCACAGAATTTTGTTTTAAATATGTATTTTGGTAGATTATCATCTTTGAAATGAAGAAATCTAATTTTCCCCACTATTTTGTTTTCAGATATTCTTCAGATATTCAGACACCTTGATGATCATGAAAATACATCAGCTAGATAAATAAAATAAATTCAGCCAGCCTACAGCTGGTGTCTCTGGCATATCTGAGTGAAAGGCAGAGCTGAAGGAAAGGGGCTGGAACAGAGGAGCCAGCAAAAAAAGCTAAATTGTGTTCTGTAATCAAATATAGCATTTCCTCTATTCACAGAACTTAAATTCAGTTTTAGCAGCTTACTGAGAAAAGTTTCTTGTGTTGATTCTCTTTTCCTTCCTTATCCTGGTCCTTAAATGGAGGTCTTGGATCAAAGGAGTTAGGAACCTAAATACCTTTGAGGATCTGGTCCAAAGTGTCTAAGATTGACTATTTGGCTTTTTTAGTTACCAGATCAACAATAACACACTACTACATGGGAAGGTGCATTTGGATGGAAACAGGTGAAAGTCTGTTAAATATGAGATGAGTTAGTATGGCACAGTAATTATCCAAAGTAATTCCAAATAGCATCAGATAAATTGGGTTTTTTGTATACATCAAATCCAGCTTGATTATCCATCATTATCTGACTGCCACTTACTTGTATTGGGACAAATCTTGTGGTCCTTATTCAGGCAAAATTCCTGTTGATTTCAGCGGGAGTTTTGAGTTATACTCCAGTATATGATCCATTATATTCAGTCTGGGGGCCAAATACTTACTTTGCATTGCTATTCAGGACACTATTAGAATATGTGCTTAATTCCTCTGAAATCAAGAGGATATAAGCACATTTAATTTTAAGTATGAGTTTAAATGTTGCCTTGAATAGGGATGGACATAAATAGATGCTTAAACGCTTTCCTGAATCAGAGCCTAATGCCCCCTATGAAGTCATAAGTAATTCTCCCTGAAAAAGTAGTAAACACTTCAGGATTCTGATTAAAAAATAATTAAGGTTCCAATTAAAAATAATAGTATTTCTCATATGCCCTGTTATTAAAGAAACTATGTCAAGAAAGCAATAGGTTACAGGGTGCTCAATGTCCTACTCCTGAAACATTTCCCATAAAGCATCATTGATGGCAATACAAAGGTAGGGAACTGCAATTCTAGCTGTTCAATAGGAGACAAGGAAAGAGGATGGGAAAAGATGGCCAAGGACGAAGTCAGCTGAAGCCTACTACTAAGGAACTGATCCTCAAGGTGATAAGAGACCACTTTCAAAACACTGGCCCTTATTTGACCACTTTTAAACAATTAACCCAACATTTTCAAACCTGGCTGACTAGAGCTCATCACCCAACCCATACATGACATCTAAATGGGAAGCCTGATTCTCAACAGTAGCAAGCAACCATAGCTCCTGATTTATTCCTCTAGCAAAAAAACAATACTTTTGTAACAAGAAAACCCCATACTAAGTAAAGTGTTGATTCTAGTGAAAGTTACTCACATGTGTAACTGCACAACTGGGCCCTTAGTTGTCTATTTTAATATACCATTAATAATTTGGTATAGCTCCCCCCATTTTTAGTAAATTGGGGAGTGACAGATTCCCAACCAGTTTGAATACACTTGTATCCCCAATGAACTATTGTGCGCTTTTACTCCACCTCCCAAATATTCTTAAATACTTTTGTAACTACTGCATTTTTCTCCCCAAGCAAAATTAATAATAAAGAACATAATAATAATCATAATAATAATTTGGGCCTGAAGCCAGCACTGAAATCCACACCAGGCTTTGTCCATGCAAACCTCACTGCAGAATTGGGCGGTTTGTAATCCCCTCCCCCGGTTACTATTTTACGCAGGATACAGAACAATACGAATAGTTTTGCATCTACCCCTCCCCCACTCCAATACATCTTAACGCTGTTATGTCCGATTCCCCGCTCCGCCGCCACACCCCTCTACCAGCAGTTCTGTATCTAGGACAGCCCCATGGGCGCGCGGCTCCCCAGCTGCAGCTGTTGGACGGGCCCTGCGAGGCCCCCGCGTCACCCGCTCAGCAGCGCGCGGCTGGGGAGCGGGCGAAGCTCCGGACTCCAGCCCCCACAATGCCTCGCACGCAGGCGAAGCCAGCCCCGCAGTGTAAGGGGCGCTCATTGGCGGGAGGGCCCGAGCCTTGGGGAAGCCTATCACCTCCCGTCTCATTGTGCGGTGGCAGCAACCAACGTACACACACTAGGGCTCCAGGCAGCGGCGTCGGTCTCGCTCCAGCCGCGCTGCAGCCCCTGGTTGTCGCCGCATCCCGCGGGTGTAGAAGGGGAAGGGCCATGAACCTGGGGTAAGCAGGGCAGTGCCCGGCTTTTGGCTCCTCTGCGCTGGGCGTGTCTGTCCCCGTGGTCTGGCTCCATAATGACCCGCTCCCCAGAGCCGGGCAGGGCTGTGCCTCGCCCCGCCTGCGGCTAACGGGCCACTAAGTCAGGGCTAGGGCCTGCACAACGTTGTAATGTAAAATGTTCGACGTGACGTGATGTGTCGCCACCTGGGTTTGTTCTGGCAGGTGACGTCTCAGAGACGCCCCGGCAACGTCTGATGCCCGCCCCCCCCAGTCCGTGTTTTGTGTGCTCTTTGTCCAGGGCATTCAGTGGGTTGCTCTGGGCACTTTGTTCTGTGCCTCACGACTCGGTATAAAGTCCCTCCCTAGAACCGCGGCTATCGTAACCCTCTCGCGTGTTATAAGAGGTAGTGGCTATTGGAAGTAAAAAATCCGCTAGGTAAGGAAGGATTCTGACCTTTAGCTGTCAGTCTTTATTCCCAGTTCTTCCAACTAGGATTTTCACAGGTGTTTCCCCCCCCCCCCCGAGTAAACACTACTTTACGTTGCCCATTAGTGATGCTCTCAATGGTCAATTTATGCATGTGGGCAGGGGACTGGACTCGATGACCTCTCGAGGTCCCTTCCAGTCGTAGAATCTATGAATCTATGCATACCCTACTAATTTCACTTCAGTATCAGAGGGGTAGCTGTGTTAATCTGAATCTGTAAAAAGCGACAAAGAGTCCTGTGGCACCTTATAGACTAACAGAAGTATTGGAGTATAAGCTTTCGTGGGTGACTACCCACCTCGTCAGACGCGTCTGACAAAGTGGGTAGTCACCCACGAAAGCTTA